GAGCTCCTTAGGCAAGATTAATTTTGCCTGTTCTAGAATTTTATATAAATGGAATATACTTTTTTGTTTCTGCATAATGTTTTTGAGATACAACCATGTTATTGTTCATCTTATTAGTTTGTTCCTTTTAATTGATGGTAATATACCATTGTCTGAATATTTCACAATTTATTTATGTATCCATCTGTTGATGGTTATTTGGGTTGTTTATAGTTTAGGCTTATTATGAAAAGATGCTGTGAATATTCATGTAAAACTATTTGTGTAAGCATATGTTTTCCTTTTATATGAAATACCTAGGAGTGGAATTGCTGGATCATATGTTTGGCATAGTGGTTAAAGCATTCCACTGCTGACCAAAAAAGATCAGTGATTTGAATCCACCAGCTGCTCCTTGGGAGAAGAATGAAGCTGTCAGCTTCTGTGAAGATTTATAACCCTGCCAACCCTATGGGGCAGTTCTTTTTTTTGTTTGTTAGATTGCTGTATCTTTTTTTTTTTCGTTTCTTTTTATTGTGATTTGGGTGAAAATTTACAGAGCAAATACACTTTCCATACAGTAGTTCACATACACTTTGTCTCATGACATTGACCACAATTTACCACAATGCAACATCTCCCCTCCTACTTCCTCCCGATAATTACCTCTTCCCTGTATCCATCCCTCCATGCACTCCTGCCCCCTAAGCTGTCTCCCTGTGCATAAGCAGCCCTTCTTTGTCCCATGATTGTTCTCTCCAAGGAGTGTATCAGGTAAATGTTTAACTCATATGCCTGTCTATTGTTTGGCTGGAAGCCACAGGTGTGTCTTCAATTCCAGACTTGAAGGGCAGCTAGGGGCCATAGTCTCAGTGGTTCCACCAGGCTCTATCGGGCCAGCAAACCTGGTCCTCTCTTTTTTTTTTTCCAAATGATTTTGAATTTTGTTCCTCATTGTTCTCCCTGTCTATCCAGGATCTCCTACATAGATCCTCTTCCAAGTGGTTGACAGTAGTAGCCAGGCACCATCTAGTTCTTCTGGTCTCGTAGTCATATAGGCTGCAGATCAGATGGTGTACCAGTTGCTAGGACTAATTGTTTCCATGAATTTTTGGTTTTCTTCATTCTTCTTTGCTCTGGACGAGGAGAGACCCATCGTTGCATCTAGATGGCAGCTTGTAAGCTTTTAAGATCCCAGTTGCTACTTGCCACAGTAGGAGGTAGAACAGTGTTTTGTGTAGTATGTTATGCAATTGAGTTTGATGTCCTCTGCGACTATGGTCCTGAGCCCACAGATTCAACTACTCACTCCTTCTGGGTAGCTGGCTGTGACCAAGCAGTGACTACAACCTTGCCCCTTGTCAGCCCTATGGGGCAGTTCTATTCTGTCCTGTAGGGTTGCTGTGAGTTGGAATCAACTCGATGGCAATGAGTTTTTTTGTTTGTTTGTTTCTTGTTTTTATGTTTAATTTTATAAGAAACTATATGTTGATTCTGTTAAAAAAAAAAAAAAAAAATTGCCCTTCTGTTTCCCAAAGTGATTGTACCATTTTACACTTCTCCCACCAGTGTTTGAGAGTTCCAAGTATGCAACTACTTGATACTGTCATTTCTTTTCATTTTAGCTGTTCTCATGAGGTCATGGTGGTATCTCACTGTTTTAATTTGCATTTTCCTGATGACTAATGACCATGTGCATCTTTCCATGTGCTTTACTTATTAGCTATTTATAAATCATCTTTTGTGAAGTTTCTGTTCACATGTCTTACTCATATTTTAATTATGTTCTTTGCTTTATTGTTTGTCTGTAATACCAAAAAACAAACCAAACCCTCTGCCATCAAGTGGGCTCCAACTCATAGTGACCTCCATTGGGTTTCCAAGGCTATAAATCTTTACACAGAAGTAGATTGCCTCATCTTCTTCCCACAGAGTGGCTAGTAGGTTTGAACCACTGACCTTTTGGTTAGCAGCCAAATGCCTACCCAACTATGCTACCAGAGTTTCTTTAGTTCATTATGTTTCTAGATTTAGGTCCTTGTCAGATACGTGTATTGTGAATATCATCTACTAGTCTGTGACTTGTAGTTTCATTTTTAAAAAACAACATCGTTCAATGAGCAGAGGGTTTTAATTTTGATGAATTCAGTTTATTAATTTTTTACCTTTAGGGTTAGTGCTTTTGTGTCCTAAGAAATCTTTTCTTTCCTCAAAGTCATGAAGATTTTCTTCTTTTTTTTCCCCAGAAGATTTATAGTTTGAGGTGTATTTAAGTCTATGATCCCATTCCAGTTAATTTTTTAAATGATGTGAAGTAAGGATTGAGTACTTTTTGTGATATGGATATTCATTTGTTGCAGTGCCACTTGTTGAAGAGATTGTTCTTTCCCCATTGAATTAACTTGTGAGCTTTGTGGAAATCAATTGACTATATTACGTGTGGGTCTATTTATGGGCTCTTTATGCTCTTTCACTGATCCATTTGTCTGTCCTTTCACTAATACACACTGTCTTGGTGACTGTAGCTTTATAATAAATCTTGCTTTGGGGGAAGGTTGCTCTGAATGCAGTTAGGGTAAAGGGAGAGTTAGATATGACATGAATGAAAGAAAAAACCTGAAGCAACTCTTGTTTTGGTGAGTGATTCTTATTTTTTAGATGGGACCAAACTAATCACAACCTGTTCGTAGAAATAAGCCACATTATAAAGAGTTTAAGTTAATTTGGAAAGAGTTGAAATTGTGAAATCAGATATAAAGACAGATACTTTATGGTATCAATATATTCATAGATGTATTTAAAATGTGCTAAAACTTTTTAAATTTTGAAATAGTTGGCTCACTTTTTTGAAAGTCACAATATTAATAAACACCAAAACCCACCCACTCAAGTTGATTCGAACTCATAGTGACCTGATATAGGACAGAATAGAACTGCTTCATAAGGTTTCCAAGGCTGTAAATCTTTACAGAAGCAGACTGCCTCATCTTTTTCCCTTAGAGTGGCTGGTAGGTTTGAACTGCTGACTTTTGGTTAGTAGCCGAAAGCTTTAATCACCGCACCACCAGAACTTGTCTTAATAAACACATTTAGGAGTAAGTTTTTGGGGTGATAAAAATATTATGTATCTTGATTGGTGTGATCATTACATAGATGTATACATTTATCAAAATTAATTGACTGTACACTTAAGAGTGCATTTTATTGGTAAATTTACTTCTGTAGTGATACTACCTCGGAAACCCAAGGAGAGATCACTATGAGTCGGATCCGACTCAATGGCAATGTGTTAAAGCTGGTTTTTAAAAGTTAAAAAAAAAAAAAAAAAACAGCATAGTGAAAACCTGAGTTTCAAGAACACCCTGAAATCCTTAGCAACAGAAGTAAAAAAATTTTCAGAGTTTTAGTCATGAACTGTAGCTGAATAAACCTAACTATGCATTAGTCTTTAGGTGTTTTGGGGTTTTTTGGTCATATTTTCTTTTGTTTGTTGTTTTCCACCCACATGAATGGGTTTTAACCCACCAGCCACTCCTCAGAAGGAAGGTTGGACAATCTACTTCCGCAGTGATAACTACCTCGGAAACTCAAGGAGGGGTTGCTGTGAGTCGGGTCCAACTCCACGGCACATAACAACAATAACTGCCTAGAACAAATTGTGTGTGTGGGGGGGGTGGAGGTGGTTGTGGGTGTGTGGTGTGTGATGTGATATCAGTCTTGGTCAGCTGCACTGACAGAGCTGAACCAAGATATCTTCCTGCCTGCTAATCAAGGCCACACAGACAAGCCCAAGGAAGGATGACCCCTGTCTCAGGAAGTTTTGAATCAATTGCTATTTATAACCAATACAGAGTAGAATTTGAGATCAGATCGTCACTCAGTCAGTAGGAAAAGTTTTCTGCCAAATTTTACATTTGAGGAAATAGTTTATGGGCATGAGTGAAGCCTCTATGTGAAAGGAAGGAATGTGACAGTGACTGTAAGTAATTTTGCTAATTTGGGTCAAGGGTGTGGTTGCAGAGTTGTGGGAAGTTCAGTCAGTAATACACTAGATTACAATTTTAAAACAACTGGTATGTAGTTAATGGTCACCTTGGGTTGTCTTCAACATAGTGTGCGTGGAATCCTGTGCTGCTAGTAGTAAAATTGAAATCATAGTAAATGATGAGCTGATATTATTTATCATCATAAGAAAGGGGGAGAAATTAGCTATTCGGTATGTTTCCAGACTAACTGGCTCTTGCTCTGAATATATCGTTTTTGTCATTTGAGATGTGTTTTTGTATATGTATGCTTTTTATGGAGCTCTGGTGGCGTAGTGCCTAAGGCATCTGACTGCTAACCAGAAGTCTGGCAGTTCAAACCCACCAGCTGCTCTTTGGAGAGAAGATTGGGCAATCTACTTTCGTAGTGATTCTGCCTTGGAAACCCGAGGAGGGGTCGCTATGAGTCGGATGCATATTACTCCGTTGGTCCTTGTTTCATTAAAGGAAAGTTCCATAAAGAATTGACTTATTTAAATAAAAGTAACATTGTATAGTGCTTTATGTAATCTCTTACAAAATTCCATTCTACCTAACTTTAGGGAATTAAATATGGCAGAGTATTAACGCTGACAACTTGAGAAATACCACAAATACTCAGTATTATTACATCAGTCATCTTAGGAGTGCCTTTATAGAGTTGAGTTACTTAATAGATTACAAGTACATTTTTACATAGGCATTGTAAATTAAGTAGGGATAGGTGGGCTGTGTTACAGTGGAGTTGAAATTAGGAAAGTTATAAAACTGTGCTAACACATTCTTGTCTCATTTTAATAGGAGTATTCAAGATAAAGCTGTAGAAGTTTCCAGCAAGGATCAATGATGAAAATTTTTCTTTTAAAGAGATTTACAAGTTAAAGATGAAAGGAAATTACTGGAATTGTTTGAATTCTAACTGACAGAATAAAGGATTCACAGTTATTTGTAATGGAACGTTTGTAAAGTTCATCAGTTGTCATGCACCCAACAGGGAACATGGATATTGGTTTTTCTCGTTCTGCTGTTCAGACACTGTCGAGAAGCCATTGTAAAAACATCAAACAAAAAATTTCTCAATGGGAAGGAAGGACAAGTGGTGTATCTAATCCAGATAAATGGCATCCAAAAGACTTTGGGGTGAGATATAACTGTCATCAGGAAATTGTTCCCATGAAAATTGGGATTGTTGCTGAGGGAAAGAGTAAAAATTTGGATGTAACCAACTCTCAAAATGTCAGGCTAGATCTGAGGGAAGATGACAAAAGCCATGATCAAAGTGAAGATGAAAGTGAGAAACATGAGTATAATGATACACGTTTCTTTAAAAATGAAGCAGAAACTGAATGGGTATGCGCTCAGGTCAGACAGATGGAAAGCTGGAAAGAAGTTGTTTTGGACCCAGCGACTTCATTACCTCCAGGAAACTTTTATACCTCACAGATACTGTGGAAGAAAATAGAAGCACTTCCCCCAGATAAAGCCTTAAATTTGGCTTTAGAACATGGTGACTCTTCAGGAAAAGAACTGAATTTCAGAGCTCTGGATAGTTCATATGGAATAACCAAGAGCTTAGAAAATATTTACTCTGAACCTGAGGGGCAAGAGTGTGCACCTTCTATAAATCCTTTGCCAAAACCTCGTAGGACATTCAGATATTTATCTGAATCTGGTGTTATGCCAGGTAAAGAAAGAAACTGTGACAGAAAATACTGTGAAAATAATTCTTGTGCAGAATCTCGTTTTGCCCCTTTTCAGGAACCTGAACCAAAGAAACATGGTGGAAAAATCAGAGGGAGATCTAAAAGGTATGTTTTTATCCTGTAGCTAATGATCTGTAGGATTATTGAGCTTCTTTTTCCTTTTCAAATCAATCTCTGCACCATTTCCCTCCTAGTGCCCTAGTTGGAGCATACAGACATTGAATAATGAAATGAGTAGAGTAGGGAAATGAGTAGAGTGGAAATACAGGAAATCAGTTGGAGCCTTGGTGACTTTATGGGCCAATTCCACTTTGTCTTATAGGGTCACTGAGTCAGAGTCAACTCGACAGCGATGGATTTAGATTTTTTAATAAGAAATAGCTAAGACAATCTGCTGACATAGGAGTATCAGAAAAACTGCCATTTTATGTGTTTAAGAATCTGTAGGGAAACATTCTTCCACTTTATTCAGAGCATACTGGCCTTAGCCTTGCTCTTTATGACAGAGTGAACTTAATAAAGGAACCAGAGGAAGAACATGAATGTGAGAGGCTCCAATTTTCCCATTGTATCTACAGGGAACCAGCCTAGTTTATTATTTTTAGGTATCTGATTAAAAACACCTTTGAAATTTTATTCACAAGTCTATTAATTATCAATTTTTATTTACCATACCAATGTAAAGATGGGAGTTGTGAAAGACATAACTTTAAAATTTATTTCTTTTCTTAAGGAAATCCTTTGAATTTGAGGATATTCAGCACTTTCGAAATCGAAACACACAGAAGATTCACAAAGAACTTGGAAGAAATTCTGGTTCAGCACTTTATTACACACAGTCTGAGGACAATATCTATGAGGATATCATATGTATGTGTCCATAGACTTTGCAATTAAACTTAATGAGTATGTATTTGATGGAGCCCTTAACTGTAAGATGATATTTTCTTCTATAATCAAGCATATCTTGCTCTAGATTTGCTTTTTAATATGGAAATGTTTGGTGTATAATATCTTTTGTTCTTTAATAGATCTTATAAATAGTGCAATGGATTGCTTCACTCAGAAGTAGATGTTCTTAGGATAGTATTTTGAGAATTCTTTATATCAGTGGAACTCCTCATTGATTTATAAGCATGAAGTGCCATTGGGCATTTGATTGCTAACCAGAAGGCTGGCAGTTCAAACCCACCAGCCACCCTTCAAAAGGAATACTGGGCAGTCTACTTCCATAGAGATACTGCCTTGGAAAGCCAAGGAGGGGTTGCTATGAGTCAGATCCGACTTGACAGTAGTGAGTTTGGGTTTTTGGTTTGGATCCCTACAGCAAGGTAGAATAAGAAAACTCAACGTATTTAGTCAGCTTATTCTTTCCTTTTCTAGCTGTGGTCACTTTGTTTCCATTTATATATGTTCCTCAAAACTTATTTTTTTCACTATTTTTCAAGATCCTGCCAAAGAAAATCCATATGAAGATATTCCAATACAGCCTTTACCCATGTGGAGATCCCCTTCAGCATGGAAGCTACCACCCCCTAAAAGTGCTTTCAGAACACCCAAGGTATGACCAATGACTTAGTTGACAAAAACATTAGACTCTAATTAGATCCCTATACAAGGGTTAACATAGTTTAACTTGGGCCAAAATCAGCAGACACGGAGGATGTAGTTTTTTTAGTGTTGTGGTGGTTTATGTTTTGCTTTTTTAGGCAGCACAGCTTTCTGTTTTCTTTAAGGTGGTTGTCGTTATTATTATTATTATTATTATTATTTTACCTCTTTGTTTTTTAACTTGAATATGAGTCCTCTTAGACAGGGCATGAACTTTTCACTGTGTTCCTATGACTTTTTATTAATCTCACATCTGCCTGTAGCATAAATTACTTACCTGAAAGCATCTATGACCCCTGAGAGCAAAGGCTTCCTTGCATTAACAGGACTGTGAACCACAGTTTTCTGGGAAATATATTACAGTGGGATAGAAGAATTTTGCATTAAATACCTGAGAAACTTCTTTGCAAATAGTAGGAAAGAAAGTATGGAATCCTCGTTTGAATCCATTTCTATAGGAAATACCTTTCTGGGATAGCTTTGACTTTATATGTGAACACAGGCATAAACTAGCGGATCATACCCTTACCTCTTACCAGTACATTTTCTCCTGTTTTAGCTTCCTCCCAAACCTCAATTTCTTCTCCGGAAAACTATGGAACTCAAGAACTCACAAGCTTATATACGGTCAAAGCTCACAAAGGATGCCACTTTGCCTGTCACTTTAACTGAATGGAAGCTATTCCGAGCTGGAGAAGTTGCAAATAGGAAAAGGAAAAATCTTCCAAGGGTAAGGGCTCCAGTACTTTCATTCTTTGACTCTTATGTCAGCATTTCCATAAATGAGAATAAATAGACTGAAGTGAATAATAGGTTATAACTGACTTACTGGAATTAGAAGATTTGGAAAGCAGCCTTAAGTTTTAAACTTTTCCTTATGCAAGACAAACGCATGATTGGCTTTTGCTGCTTTCATTATGGATTTGAAAATCAATTTTTAGATGGACTTTACGTCATTCACCTTCTCTGTCATTAATCCAGCTGCCTGTTTAACAGAAGCACCAGAATCTCATATGAGAGGACATTTTATCAAGTTGGTTTCAGTGTCTGTTGTTAGAACTCACTGACTTACATAATTGCTGAAGTAAATTCTGTTTTGACCCTGAGTTTATAAATTTTTATTTATGTCAAAGTATGAGCCATTAAAAGAGCTCTGGTTGTGTAGTGCCTAAGGTATTTGACTGCTAACCAGAAGGCTGGCAGTTCAAACCCACCAGCCACTCCTCAGAAGGAAGACAGGGCAATCTACTTCCGTATAGATACTGCTTTGGAAATCCAAGGAGGAGTCACTATGAGTTGAATTGACTTGATGGCAGTGAGTTTTTTTTTTTTTTTTTTTGGTTTTTATGTGCCATTAAAGGAGCCATGGTGCACAGTGGTTAAAGTACTCCATTGCTAACCAAAAGGTCAGTGGTGTGAACCTACTAGCTGCTCTGTAGGAAGAAGATGTGGCAGTCTGCTTCTGTAAAAATTACAAGCTTGGAAACCCTGTGGTGCAGTTCTACTCTAGACAGTCACTATGAGTCAGAGTCAACTCAACAGTGGGTTTGATTTTTTTTTTTTAATGCCATTAATTTGGAGCAAAAATTTCCATTTAGAGGAAGGAAAACAGAAATCTATTACTTGGGAATAGAAATTACAAGGAAATAAGTAAGTTCTCCCTCAAACAAAAAAAGGCAGTAAATCTATAAATCATCTAGACTAGAGCTGTAAGGCCCAAAGTAGAGAAATTAGGGTTACTTGGAGACATAAATTTTCTTTTAGGAGTGACATTTAAGAAATTACATGAAAATATTTTTCTAACTCTGTTACTTTGTTCTTCTGTAATTCAGAATGTTTTCAGGATTAAAAAAATACTACGTAGATACCATGTAGCAATGTACATATTAGATCATTTAAATATTATTCCTTTCCTTTTCCCATCTGACTTAGCTGAGTGTATTCATTTAGCACACAATTTTTGTACCTGATTTTAACATTAAACAAAAGTCTCAGCTGTTTCTTGGTTAGTAGCTGCTGATTGGTTCCTTGGAAGTACTGTGTTTCACAATTACTTTAATTCTTCTGATCTATTTCCTGCCCCTCCCTCTTTAGTATGTGAAGAGTTAAAGATACAGTTTTTAAAAAGCACTAAAGTGATCCTTTCAGTGTGAAAAAAGAAAAATCTTTAGCTGTTTTTTCTCCTTTGTATGATAAGGAATATATAAAAATCAGAGCTTTAAATTGCTGAGAGGCATCGGGCAGTAGCTCTCCACTGATGTGCATTAGGCTGGCACAAAAAAGCAGCCCCCCACATGGCCCAGAAGAAAAGATTCATGTGTTAACAGGAGGAAGGATATAAACACATAAGGGATTGCATTTAGATGTAACTCTTGGGATGGCATTAACAAATATTTAAGAATTATGGATTGTAGTGTTTCATGAGACCCGAGGATATTGTAGAGCGCTTTTAACATCATTCCTCAGTATTTTGTGTACTGTGGATCCTGAGTATTTGAAGACTGTTTCCTTTCTGACTATAGGTAGAGTGATCCAACTTTTCCTTGTCTAATATTTTCCCAAAAGATTTTTGAGGAGTGAAGAGAAAGAAAGAAAATGGTAATGAACTCTTGATTGATTATTTAACAGATTGGTAGCATGTCTACCTGTGATCCTGCTTGTATTAAATCTTTTTAGTGTGCTCTATATGCAATACAGATTTTGGCTTTGGAGTATTTTCAGGAACGGCATTCCATGAGAAAAAACATTTTTCATTTATTTCCCCTTGGATGACTGGAGCTATCCCTGGAAGGGAAACTGCTTTCATAATTTGAAAATCCCTGATCTAGTCCATATGCCTCTTCCCCACCCTTCCTTTCTCTTCCTGCTGTGGAAGCCTGTGTGGGATTGTTTGCTAGAGTAATTTCCTAATGTTTTGTATTGTTTTTGTGAAGTATCTACAGCAATATGGCTTTTATCAATTTTTAGGAAGACTATCCAACAGTATTTCATGCAACTAGAAGGTAAATGTAGTCTCTTCTTCCTAGTTCATAATCTAAATTTAAATTTTATTATCTTATCACATATAGTTCCCTTTCCTTTGTAATATTTTGAGTATACTTCCTAAATGCACATTAATAATTATTCTATCTTTGGTCACTGTGTATTCAAAAAACATATTTATCCTTATAGACCTTTCCTATAGCCTGTAACAATACCTTTTTACACTGCATTCTCTTGCTTTGGGTAATGATAATATTTAAGAACATTAGTAATTTTTTACTTGACTGGCAGCTATACAAAATCTTTTAAAAAAAGAAAAAACAGCTCATCCAAAAGTGTAGGAATAATCTGCATATTGGAAGCACATGTTTTTCATACGTTATTTTTCTTGTACTGGATTGATTCACTACCTACTGATTGCCAAAATTGCTAAAGAAACAAGACAAAAGGAAAACAAGAACAGTTGTCTCAAGAAACTTTGTTGGTTGCCATGTTATATAATATTCTTAACAGTTGTAATTCTAGGTATTAAATATGTTAAATCAAGATGAATAGAATTTTAAGCTTAGAATTTTAAGAAAATGGAAAAACTAATATATCAGTTCCTCCTTTAAAAACTGTTGCTCAGCTCTAATTCTTTCCTCTTTTTTTGCTCCAGCTCAATCTGTTTTTTTTTCCTCTGTCTCCCCATTCTTCCTCCTTCTCTCTCTGATACACACACACCCATACACATACCCCTCCCAGTAGCAAAGAAAGAATTCTAATGAGTAAATGCATGTTAAGTGGACAGAAGCAGTTAGTAACCACATCAAAATGAATGGACTAGGTTCTACTTGCTTGAGATACAGATGAAGAGAAGAAGAAACAGAAGCCTGGTTTTTGTACTTGAACATATTTATAAGAGTCTCATATTTTTATGCCATGTTTCTAAAATAAATGATAATGTTAGTAATTCCAGTAGCAAAGAGATGGATATTTATTCCCTTGCCAAAGCTTTTTAAGAGTGACTATCCTCTTTATGGAGCTCTGGTAGCATAGTGCCTAAGGCACTTGACTGCTCACCAGAAGGCTGGCAGTTCAAACCCACCAGCCACTCCTCGGAAGGAAGGTTGGGCAATCCTACTTCCGTAGTGTTACTGCCTCGGAAACCCAAGGAGGGGTTGCTATGAGTCGGGGGCGACTCGACGGCAATCAACAACAATAACATCCTCTTTATGAAGGAGCTCAGGTGGTGTAGTGGTTAAGGCATTTGGCTGCTAAGCAAAAGTTTGGTGGTTTGAACCCACCATTCATTCTGCGGAATAAAGATGGGCATTCTGCTTCCATAAAGGTTTATGCCTTGGAAACCCAATGGGGGTTGCTATGAGTTGGGATTGACTCGATTGGCAGTGAGTTTGGTTTTTAGTTTGATCCTCTTTATGAAGAATACCTGGGAGAAGAAGTAACAAGGCCTCACCCTGCCTTCCAAGTGAATGAGTGTTCAACTTCCTACTCTGGGCAAGTGAAAACTTGAGTTTGATAGTAGTAAAGGTATATGTTTGATAGTAAAGGTATATGGTGTGCAGTAGCCAGATTTCCTGCATGTTGTGACATGGTGTGAAAAAGAATCTCTCTACAAGAGTTTGTTAGGTACCTCTGGAAAGAATATATAATTTCCCACTTGCTTTTCCCATGCTACATGAACTTTTTATTACAATAACATATTTATCTAAAGAGCATTGTTTGGATTCAAAATGGAAAATTTTAAATGTTTTCATTTCTAAAATAGAGAAACAGTAAAATAGAGAATCACTAATAAATTAATGTCATCAACCTGTAAAACTTATGGGTGTTGGTTTTAACTTGTACTTTCTGATCTTTTTGCAGTTTGTGTTGAAAATAGATGACATATTTGAATCTAAGAGAGGAAAGAAGAAGATAAAGTTACACCCTTACACTGGAAAAGAGGTACCTCCCTCAAAAGGTAAGAATTGTTTTCTGTTCCAGTTCTCTTTAGCTATCAGCATATGAGGGGGAAATCATTACAAAACTAAATGTTGGATGTGTACTATAATTTTTTGTTTGCTCTTGTACCATTTAAACTTCCTTAGGATAAGAGGTTATTTTTATTTGGTTCTGTTTCATGTAATAACTATTGGATGAATAAGTAAATAAATGAAAAATACTTTTTATATCAGTAATACCAAAAAAACCAAACTCACTGCCATCTAGTCAGTTCAACTCATAGCGACCCCTCCTTGGGTTTCTGAGGCAATATCTCTGTAGAAGTTGATTGCCCAATCTTCTTTCTGAGGGGTGGCTGGTGGGTTTGAACTGTCAGCCTTCTGGTTAACAGTCAAGTGCCTTAGGCACTATGCCACCAGAGCTCCTAATTTTCATAGGTAGATTGCATCATTGAGGAGCCTTGGTAGTGCACTGGTGAAGCACTCAGCTGCTTACCTAAAGGTCAGCAATTAGAATCTACCAACTGTTCTATGGGAGAAAATGTGGCATTCTGCTTCTATAAAGGTTATGGCCTTGGAAACCCTATGGGGCAGTTCTGTGTCCTATAGGGTCACTGTGAGTCAGAATCAATTCAATGGCAAGGGGTTTGATTGCACCATTATTTTGTAGTCCTACTTTGATTTTTAGTTATTGATTAGTATAGATTCTTTTCAGAGAAGAAAAGTAAAACATGTAGTATATATAGACTGAAAGTATGTGGTACTCAATTTGCCATATAGTAAGTTCAGTAGTTTTTATCCTTCAGATGCCTAGATAAAGCTTACTTTGTCTTAGTTAAGAAACTCTCAACATCCATTGTGAATTATTAGAATTTCCTTAAAGCTCATATAAGAAAAGTTGAAAATCATTAAAAAAAAAAGGGGGGGGTGGCAGAACCAGGTTTGCTGGTGTGATTGAGCCTGGTGGAACCCTTGAAACTATGGTTACTAGCTGCCCTTCAGGTCTGGAATTGAACCCACTCCTGTGGCTTCCAGCCAAACAAAAGACAGGCATATGAGCTGAACATTTATATTAAGTAGATACACTCCTTGGAGAGATTAGTCATGGGAGAATAGAAGAGCTGTGTTTGCACAGGAGACAGCTTGTGGGGGCTGGAGTGCATGGAAGGGAGGGACAGAGGGAAGAGGTAATTATGGGGAGGAAGTGAAAGGAGAGCTGTTGCATTGTGGGAAATTGCAGTCAATGTCATGAGACAAAGTGTCTGTGAGCTGTTGTATGGAAAGTGAATTTGCTCTGTAAACTTTCACCCAAATCACAATAAAAATAATAATAATATAAAAAAAAACTCACATAAGATTCTTAACTTGTTTATCTGGGAAAGAATATGTAGAATTTGGCAGTTTGGGGACATAAGCTTCATTAGGAATCTTGAAGATTCTGTAATAAGAAACAATACTGGGGTTGTGCCAGAGGAGAGTATTTCTTATTTCTGCAGACTTCCAAAGGCAGACATTTCTTAATTTCCCTTGAAAATCTGTTCTTTATTCTAATAGTTTATCAGAAAATAAAATTTTCTTTTCTACAATGTAAGACTCTTTCTTTTTACTCTTTGGTGATCAACAGCAACTGATCACCATTTTAAATGTGAGTTTTCATAAGCTGTTATTAAAATATGTTTCAATCTTCTCTGTATAAGAAATATTTTTGGTTATTGTTAGTAAAGTAGCTCCCATTTATTCCATGAAGTAATAGTTTCTTTACCTACTTTGTCTCATGTATAACATATGGTATCACTAGGAGGCAGGGACTAGCCTATTTTACAGATGAAGATGATGAGCTAGAGTAGGAACTACAGATTTGAATCAAGGAACATGGCACCAAAAAGTCTTAACTTTTTCTGTCACTGATAGTTACTCTCACTTTTTCTCATAACTTTGATTTTCAGCAATTTAACTACCTCCTCTTCATTTTTTCCTAATCCTCAACAAAGGTATTATCAAAAAGCTTTTCATTGGTATAATTCAGAAGTAGATATAGAAAAGGAAAATTAATGCTAGATATTGTGCTGAATCCTTTCAGATACATTATCATTAATTTTCTAAACAATCCGATGTGTCAGATACTATTGTCACTGTTTTCTAGATAAGGAAATAAATTATAAATTGCAAATTTTGTAAAATATCAAGACATGGGGGCAGGACAAATTCTGGGATAATATTCATGGCATTTTCCCAGATTAAAGTAGTCTGTTGATAAATAAATAAAACAGATTATTACCTATTTCTTATTTTATTCATATGTTTTATGCTTTATAGAATGGTAACATTTCAGTGAATTTGGGTCTTAAGACAAGTTTTTTAAGAGCTGTATCCTTTTTCCTCATTAACTTGTATCATTATAAAAAAAAAAAAAAAAAAAGCAATAGCCTGAGTTGCCAATTTCTAGCACCAGAAAATAAAAAAGCACTCCCCAAATTGTAACCCTTTTCTAAAAGTTTGTTTTTCCTTTGCATGGCTCTAAGGAAATAAGCATTTACCTGTTGTCACTTAGCAACTCCTCCAGTGGCCAGAGGAGTTGGTCAGCTGCCTCAGAATCTGCTGAATTCTTGGTCACAGTTCTCAGCTTTACATTCTCCTCCTTAAGCTTTTATCTATATATCAACAATACCTAGTAGAACTAGATTATTATATTTACCTACTCTGTCAGTATATGCTAGGATTTACTGACGATATCCCAACCTAAATATTTCTTAACTTCGGTTATCAGGCATTACAAAGTTATTTATTACCCTTTTTTCAGTTCTGTCTTTATAATTTTGTGTATTGAAGCCATATATAAAAAGGAACAACTAACTCAGAAAAAGATAGTGATAATGGTTGCAAACATGAAGAATATAATCAGTGTCACTGAAGAATACATGCAAAAACTATTGAATTGGCAAATGTTTTGTTAGGTAATTTTTACCACAGTTAAAAAACCAAACTCACTGCCGTTGAGTCGATTCTGACTCATAGCGACCCTCTTTGGGTTTCCAAGGTGGTAAATCTTTATGGAAGTAGATTGCCCAGTCTTCCATCTGCAGAGTGGCTGATGGGTTTGAACTGCAAATCTTCTGGTTAGCAGTCATTTAGAAAAAAAATTTTAACATGATAGCAGAAAAAAGCAAAAAAAAAATGGACACCCAAATATTTTTCAATCTATACAGATTCTCAACCAATTCTCCCCTTGGCTCATAACCCCTTGACTATTATTCAGTGTTTTGGAATGCAAGTCATAAAAACCTATATAGATGTGAATACATTAAAACCACTTTAATGATATCTTATAAGATATAACATCTTACCTAGATATGGTACCTTTCCTCCCTTTTCCTCTTTTCTTTCTTTCCAGACACTTCATAAACTCTTAAGAGGGGGCTAGTGCTAGAGATAGGAGTCCTGGTGGTACAGTGGTGAAGTGCTTGGCTACTAGCCAAAAGGTCCTCAGTTCAAACCCACCACTCTGCGGAAGACCTGACAATCTGCTTCCTTAAAGATTAAAGCCTAGGAAACCCTATGGGGCAGTTCTCCTATGTTATATAGTGTCACTATGAGATGGAATCTACTTGATGGGACACAGCAACAACAGTGCTAGGATATTAATAGGAGTAAGGAGCTCACAGTCTTTGTTTTTCCTTCTGAAGAACATTTTATACCCCTAGTATATTTTTTTGTCGTGGTGGTTAATTTGAATTTATAAAACCTATATTGTTGTTGTTGTTGTTATGTGCCGTCGAGTCGGACCCAACTCACAGCGACACCTCCTTGGGTTTCCGAGGCAGTATCACTATGGAAGTAGATTGCCCCATCTTCCTTCCAAGGAGTGGCTGGTGGGTTTGAACCTCCAACCTTCTGGTTAGCAGTCAAGTGCCTTAGGCACTATGCTATCAGAGCTCCCATTTATATATAGTACACAATATTTAAATTTTGTGTACCTATATAGTACACAATATTTAAATAGGTACATTTTCTACCTATCTTTTGAAGAGGCAGCATTTATTTTAATATTCTCTTATGCCTTATTCAGAAATTAAAATGAACAAAGTAAGAAATTGCAATAATATAAATACAAGATAAAAAGAAAACTAAAGCTTATAGACTTCTTCTTACCACCCCCAGAAAATTTTATACACATGCAAATACAGTACTTTTTCTTTTTTACTTTTATTGTGGTGAAAACATATACAACAAGACATTTGCCATAACTTCCACATTTATAGCTCAGGGATATTGATGACATTTTTCATGTTGTGTCATCCTTTTCCAAAATATTCCACCACCCTTAGCATAAACTCAATGTCCCCCAAACAAAAGCTTCCCCTTTCCCCCTCCCTCCTACACCTGGTAACCACTAATAATCTTTGTTAGGTAGGTAGGCAGTCAGTTAAGCAGGCAGGCAGATAGATAGATAGATAATTTTTTTTTCCAACCTGTCTAGAATGTCTTTTCCCTCTCCTCCCATCCATGATAAACAACAAAGAAAGTTTCCTACTGTTTATAAACCTTTTCTTGACTTTTACAGTAGTGGACTAATATAGTATTTGTCCTTCTGTGATTGACTTATTTCACTCAGCATAATGTCCTCCAAGTTCATCCATGTTGTATGGTATTGCAAGGATTCTACATTATTCTTTAGCATTGTATAGTATTCCATTGTGTGTATGTACCGTAGTTTGTTTATCCATTCCTTGCTTGATGGGCACTTAGGTTGTTTCCATCTCTTTGCTATTGTGAATAGTGTGGCGATGAACATGGGTGTGCATGTATCTGTTCACTTTCTGCCTCTCACTTCTTTAGGATATATACCTAGTAATGGGATTGCTGGGTCAAATGATACTTCTTTTTCCAACTTTTTAAGGAATCACCATATCGATTTCCACATTGGTTGTATCATTTTACAGTCCCACTAGCAGTATATGAACGTCCCAATCTCTCCACATTCTTGCCAGCATTTGTTATTTTCTGTCTTGTGGAACTTTGCCATTAGTGCTGGGGTGAGATGGTATCTCATTGTTTTGATTTACATCTCTCTGATGGCTAGTGATCGTGAACATTTCTTCATGTGTTTGTTGGCTGCCTGACTATCTTCTTTGGTGACATGTCTGTACTTTTTCTACAGAAATAGTGTTATACTATTCAGACTTCATATACCTTGCTTTTTTTCCCCCACTGAGGTTAATATATTCTGGAATTCTTTCAGTATCAACACATACAGATCCACATAGCCATACCATATTCCATTGTTGGAATGTAAAAGAATTTTATGTAGCTGGAAAACATTTTGGTTGTCTCTAACAGTTTCTTTAACCTGTGGATATTTAAATTATTTATTTATTTTGTTTGTTTCTTCAAAAACTGCTGCATTATTTTTTTGCTTTTACTTATGTTTTTGCTATTTATAAGAATATATCTGTAGACTAAGTTCCTGTAGACTTACTCAATCAAAGAACATAAGCATTTAAAATTTTTATTCAAAGATTTTTGTAAGATCTCTTTACAGAAAGATTGTAATAGCTCATATTCCTACCAACAGTATTTGAAAACTCTCTTTCCTCACAATCCTAACCAATATTGTGTTTTATCAAACTTTATTTTTCTTGCCAATATGATGAGTGAAAATTTCTATCTCATTCAGTTTTTAAATTTATACTTCTCTATTTATGAATTTAGGAGCTCTGGTGGCATAGTGCCTAAGGCATTTGACTGCTAACCAGAAGGTTGGCGGTTCAAACCCACCAGATACCGCTTCGGAAACCCAAGGAGGGGTTGCTATGAGTTGGATCTGACTCAATGGCAGTGAGTTTAGTTGAGTTTATTTATGAATTTGGGCATGTTTCTTGTTTCTCAACAATTCATATATCTTTTTTGTATGAATTGCCTATTCCTGTTCTTAATTAATTTTTCTGTTGTGCTTACTTTTTGTTAATGATTTGTAACAACTATCTGCATATTAAGAAATACCTTTATATCTATAATATTTATTGCAAATGTCTTCCCAGTTTATTATTTACCTTTTTTCATTTATTAATAATATTTTATTAGGTAGGTATTTTATATGTATTATCTAATCAAACATATCTTTTCATTTATGACATTTAGACTTTGTTTTGCCTAGTAAATTAAAAAATTTTTCCCTTTCTTTGCATTTTTAGAATTTTGCTTTAGCTTTTCAGATTTAATCCAGAAATATTTCATTCATTTATTCAAAAACCACTTTTTTGGGGGAGGGGGTGGTAGTGTGTCTCTGAGCTCAGCATTGTGCTAGGTCCAGTGGCACAGAACAAATCCCTTGTAAAAATATAACCTGTATCCTCAAGATACTTAAAATCTGTTAGGGGAAAATAAGACCAGCTCATAGCAGTATTAACAGTTCAAAGTGAAGGAAAAATTCATATAGACTAGAGTTAGCTTAGAAGCATCGTGGCGTGGGTAGAATATTCATAAACTTATTTGGTAACTCTCTTAGCTTTCACATTTTCCCATTATTCTGAGTTTATAGGTTAGTCAGTGTTCAGATTTTTGTTTAGCCAGCTTGATGTTCTTCTACCTTTGATACCTTACTGAAGAATAAGAGGCAAGGATATGAATGTAGAATGAGAAATGTGGTCCACTCTGGACTATACTTGCATTCTCAAAGCTAGTCTGCAATGGCATTAATTTCTCTAGTTTAAGGTGAGAAGGGAACTGAGGAAGGATGCAGGATGTAGGAAGAAAATGGAATAAAGTGTTTTCTTCTTTGAGCCTTTTATTCTGTTTTGGAACGTTTCCTAACCTGATACAACTAAGTGATTTGGAGAAAGGCTCAACATGCTTCTTCTTATTCCTTATTGCAAGTCCCCAGGTCTGTGGAAGCTCTGTGGTGTTCTCATCCTTGTGTACTTCCTACTGTTAAATACAAATGGAAACTCTTTCTCTCTTTTCAGGTGAAACCAATGGGAATGAAAGTGATGCTGAGTATCTGCCAAAGAGTGAGTGAGTCAGTGGGGCTGCTCCCTTTCTCGTGATTATCATGGTATAGGTGGAGTGACATTTACCTTTATGATTAAGCATATTTTCCCCACATGAAGTTTCCTTCATTTGTAGGTAATTTCTTGATTATCAGAACATGCTGAGTTTTGGGGAACTAAACTGTGTGCTGTCAGATGTTTTGAAGCATTAAAATCTCTCATAGAGGAACAAAGTAAATCAGTATGGCTCTTAAAATGGAATGCTCTTTGGGGAGTGGCACAGAGCTGCATGCCCAGACATACATGCAGAAGTTTACTGGCAGCCAAAACAGAGCATATGAATCATACTCTGAGACAAATGTTGTTCTTGTTGTTCTTATGTGCTGTCGAGTTGGACCCAACTCCTAGTGACCCCTCCTTGGGTTTCCGAGGTGGTGCCACTACAGAAGTAGATTGCCCAACCTTCCTTCTGAGATAAACACTAAGCATTAAATATCTGATTTTTCATAGTCACTCAAGTGTAATTATTTAAGTAACTTTGATAGCTCTCTTACATTGAGAAAGAAAATATTTGTTTTTTATTCATAGGCATTTACATTATTATGTAAATGTTTAGTATTTATTATGCTGTTTACTGTCTGTTAGAATATGTGAAACAGGGCCAGGTAATTTTAGCTGTATTTGGTGCTCTATGTCCTTTATCTAATGACTTTTCACAGCAATTTATTTAGTTCCTATTAAACTGACTGCCATGTGAAGCATGGAAAAAGTAAACAAAAATAAAACCAAACTCACTGTCCTTGAGTCGGATTTGACTCATAGCAACCTCTCCTTGGGTTTTTGAGGCAGTATCACTACAGAAGTAGATTGCCCAGTCTTCCTTCCAAGGAGTGACTGGTGGGTTTGAACTGCCATGCCATCCTTCTGGTTAGCAGTCAGATGCCTTGGACACTATGGCACCAGAGCTCCTATATGGAAAAAGTAGGAGACTTGAATTATCAAAGCTGAGTATGGGGCAGTGCTGCTTGAACAGTTTCTCTCAGAAAGATCAGCACAAGGCCGGTCCCCATGAGGCGGAGGTTAAAGATGTCCCAAATGTCCAAACTACCGTACCACTCCATCATTTCAGACATTAACTCCTCCTCCTCCTTCTCCCAGTAATTTCCCCAGTCTTAGGGTTCTGTATTTTGCTGTAACGCCTCACAGAACTCACAGACACCCAAGGGTTCGTCTCACGTAGTGGTGGAGGCTGGCAGGCTGGTGAGTCCCAGGTCCGTGAGTAGGTCTGGAGGATCCTTCCAATTCTCAGGGTTTGATGAACCTCAATCAGCAGATCAGATGATGGCTGCTGTCCCAAATCCAGGGGTGAGATGAGGATGAGCCAAGACACAAAACTGGAGCAAGAGGAGAGCAAATCTTCCCAGAAGATTTGTAGGTGTACCCTCAAGGAAGCTAAGGGTGGTGATTTGAATTATACCCTCCAGCAAGGCAGGACTCAAGATACATTCCACCTGTGTTGCCCCAATGGAAATAACCTAAATCCCATCACAGAGTCAATTGCCAGTCATTATAGGGAACAACTACTACCAGCTGCCCAGCCAAGTTGATACCTGACCTTAACTACCACACCACCCCAAACAGGCATGGATAATGGGATTTACAAAACATCACAGAATGGAGGACAATGGCTAGAAGGGCCACATCAAGCAATTCACCGCAAGTGCCAAGTCTGACACTCTAATCTGATAATGACTGATTGGTCTTGTGCCCCTTCCACTGCCCTGAATTGCTTCAGGTGTTTAGTTGTGTAGCCTGACTAAATGGGAAACTTAAATCATCATGAGGCTCATCCGACATGTATAAAGATGACTAATTTAGTGTTGTTGTTACCGAAAAACAGTACCTAAAATTTTCTTGAATTGAACTTAGCCCTTTGGGGATAAGTTAGGCTTTGCCTAGAGCTTCAGATGTACTGGATAATTCTGGGGAGCTATAGGGGACAGTTACTCCTGGATGTATATTTTAAGTCTTCTTAAATTTTGATCCACAGTGTAACTTTACTTGGGGCAGAATGTATCATAGCTCAAAAACAATTAGTCAGAGGATGAGTCTTTTTAGTCATTGGCTCTGAATGAGACATACACAAAACTCTGAGACATGTAGACTGTTTCTTTTGCAAGGACAGTTTCCTTTAGTGATGACTGCCCCAAATTGTTCAAAATGTAGAGAAAAATGAGAAGAGAGAAAAGACACTATCCAGATTTGAGTACTATTGCCTCACACTGCTTAAATAGTATGTTTCCATCATGTCATTCTTTTGAGAAATACTCTTTTAGTACATGTCTTCTCCCTCTCCAGTGTTTTTCCTCTTGCATTTAGCACAATTTATTGATTTAAGTATATATCCATTATTAGAAACATATGAGAAGGGAAAAAGGGCAGAAGTGAAACAGAAAAGGGAAAGGACAGTTTTTTAATGTGAGCTTAGTTTTAATTTTATCCAACTCTTCCCTTTTATGCACTTACTCTCTGTGGGACTATTATTTTATCAACACCCCCAGCCCCCACCCATGATTTTGTGGTCCTGCCAATGGCATCTGTTGCCAGTTCAGTGTTTTTTCCTGGTGTTTCCCATGTGTCCTGATGCTTTTCCATGAAAGATGGCATAGCATAGATGTGTAATGGCACATACTCTATGCTATCCAGTTGGCACATGGAGTGTGTCAGTTCCATTACTGACAGGAAGCCTGTGAGGGTCTTTACTCATTCCCCAAATGTCATAGCCCAAAGAGGCTATGTGGCAGACATTGCTTAGTCAACATTCATTCAGCAATGACTGCATGAAGATTAATCCTGAATGGGTCATGACCTCTGGATGAACAAGGAAAAACATTGCTCCATGATTTTATTCCAGATCGCCACAAGCGCTTAGCACAGCTACAGCAGGCTTCCAAGAGGAATCCTCACTACCAGACCTTGGAGCGGGACCTTATTGAATTACAGGAGCAGCAGCTATTTGAACTTTTTGTGGTAGTGTCCCTACAGAAGAAACCATCAGAAAAAAGTTATATTCCCCAGATCATACAACAATTCCCTAGCAAGGTAGGTACAAGGAGGCCAAGAGGCATTCAGGAACATTCCTGTGTCTCTATGTCTGTTGATTTCCTCTTTTCTTGTTTACTGTAATTTTAACCAGTTTTTACCAAAACTGTATTTGTTGTAGGATTTGGTAAATGACTATGACAGAATCTTATGTCAAGCATGAGCTGCAACCAAGACAGGGAAAACAAAAATACATTCATTTTCCAAGTTTTTAAATGTGTTACAAAGATCCGATATTTTCATCCTTAATGAGAGGAATAATAAATGAGGCATGATGGGGTAGTGGTTTAGAGCATGAAAGGAGACCTGGTGGTGTTAACCAAGAAGTCAGCAGTTCAAATCCACCAGTGACTCCATGGGAGAAAGATGTCGCTGTCTACTTCCATGAAGATTATAGCCTTGGAAACCTGTGGGCCAAGTCTGCTCTGTCCTATAGGTTGGTATGAGTCGGAATCAACTCTGTGGCAATGGGTTTGGTTTGTTTTTCTTTAGAGCATGGACTCGGGGCCAACTCTCTGCATCTGCCACTTACTAGCTCTGTGATTTTGAGCACTTACGTAACCTCTCTGTGCCTTATTTTCTTCACTTGTAGAATGGGGAAAATACTATCTACTGCGTGGACTTGTTATGAGGATTAAATGAGTTAACTTATGTAAGGTACCTAGAACAATGCCTGGCATATGCCTATAATGCATACTACAGACTGTAATCTTTAATCTTCATCAGTAAGTGCTTCAAGTCATCTTCACTTTCAGTAAGCAAGGTTGTGTTGTCTACGTATCACAGGTTGTTAATAAGTCTTCCCTCCAATCCTGATGCTATGATCTTCTTCATATAGTCCAGTTTCTTGGATTATTTGCTCAGCGTACAGATAGAATAAATACAGTGAAAAGATACAACCCTGATGCACTCTCTGATTTCAAACCATGCAGTATCCCCTTCTCTGTTCGAATGACAGCCTTCTGGTGTATGTTTATGTCTATGTCTGTGTCCTCATGAGTACAATTAAGTGTTCTGGAATGTCCATCCATCTCAATGTTATCCATAATTTGTTATGAGCCACACAATCGAATGCTTTTACATAGTCAATAAAAACACAAGTAAACATCTTTCTGGTATTCTTTGCTTTCAGCCAAGATTCATCTGACATCAACATGATATCCCTTGTTCCATATCCTCTTCTGAATCCAGCTTGCATTTCTGGAAGTTCCCTGTCATATACTGCTGCAACTGTTTTTGAATTGTCTTCAGCAAAATTTTACTTGTGTATGATATTGTTTGATAATTTCCACATTTTGTGGCATCACCTTTCTTTGGAATGGGTACAAATATGGATCTCTTCCAGTCATTTGGCCAGGTTGTCTTCCAAATTTCTAGGCATAGAGGAGTAAGTGCCTCCAGCGCAGTATCCATTTGTTGAAACATCTCAGTGGGTATTCCATCAATTCCTGGAGCTTGTTTTTCACCATTTCCTTCAGTGCAGGTTTGATGTCTTCCTCCAATATCATTGGTTCTTGATCATATGCCATCTCCTGAAATGGATGAACATCAACCAATTCTTTTTGGTACGGTGACTCTCTGTATTCCTTCTATCTTCTTTTGATGTTTCCTGTAATATTCAATGGGAGCTATGGTGGCATGGTGCCTAAGGCATTTGACTGCTAACCAGAAAGCTGGCAGTTCAAACCCACCAGCCACTCCTTGGAAGGAAGATTGGGTGATCTACTTCTGTAGCGATAGCTGCTTTGGAAACCCAAGGAGGGGTCTCTATGAGTCGGATCCAACTTGGCAGCAGTGGGTTTGGTTATATTTTGCCCATAGAATCTTTCAATATTGCAACTCTAGGCTTGAATTTTTCCTTAGTTCTTTCAGCTTGAGAAATGCCGAGCGTGTTCTTCCTTTTTGGATTTTCAACTCCAGGTCTTTGCACATTTCATTACAATAATTGACTTTGTCTTCTCGAGCTACCTTTTGAAATCTTCTGTTCAGCTCTTTTGTCATTTCTTCCATTTTCTTTAGCTACTCTATGTTCAAGAGCAAATTTCAGAGGCTCTTCTGACATCCATTTTGGTCTTTTCTTCCTTTCCTGTCTTTTTAATGGCCTTCTGCTTTCTTCATGGATGATGGTCTTAATGTCATCCCACAATTCCTCTGATTTTCAGTCATTGGTGTTCAGTGTGTCAAATCTCTTCTTCAGATGGTCTCTAAATTTAGGTGGAGTATAATTGAGGTCATACTTTGGCTCTTTTTTTAAAATGCATTTTATTGAAATATAATTTATGTACAGTAAATGCATAAAACTAAAGTGACATGGGTCAATGTACTTTTTTTTTTTTTTTTTTTTTACAGTGTTCCCTCCACTCCTCTCCCACCCCTGGTAACCAACAAAAAAAGTTATCTTACATATATAAACCTTTCCTTGACTATTTACAATAATGAACTAATACTATATTTGCCCTTCTGTGATTGACTTATTTCACTCAGTATAATGTCCTCCAAGTTCATCCATGTTATGTGGTGTTTTGCAGATTCTACATTATTCTTTAGTGTTGCATAGCATTGTTGTGTGTATGTACCATAGTTTGGTTATCCATTCTTCTGTTGTTGTGCACATAGGTTGTTTCTATCTTTTTGCTACTGTAAGTAGTGCTGTGATGAACATGGGTGTGCATACATCTGTTCTTGTCCTGGCTCACACTTCCTTAGGATATATACCTAGTAATGGGATTACTGGGTCAAATAGTATTTCTAACTCCAGTTTTTTTAACTAATCACCATACTGTTTTCTACAGTGATTGTATCATTTTACAGTCCCACCAGCAGTGTATGAGAGTCTTTCCACATCCTTGCTAGCATTTGTTATTTTCTGTCTTGTTGAACTTTGCCATTAGTGCTGGTTTGAGATGGTATCTCATTGTTGTTTTGATTTGTGTCTCTTTAATGGCTAATGATCGTGAGCATTCTTCATGTATTTACTGGCCGTCTGAATATCCTCTTTGGTGAAGTATCTATTCATGTCTTCTGCCCATTTTTTAATTGGATTGTTAATCTTTTTGTTGTCAAGGTGTTGGAGTTTTCTATAAATTTTAGAGATAAGTACCTTGTCAGACATATAATTATCAACAAGTATGAATTTGTTGCTGTCATTTTGTTATGTGCTTTTTTGTGGTGTTGATTTCTTTGTTCCATATAATTTTCTATGCTGAGCTGGTTTTGTTTATGAATCATATACTCACTCCCCTCGTTGCTCTTGTTTTAGTATTTGCTAGATATTTGTGCTGGTCCTCTTTTTAATTTTGATGTGAAGGTTTACCATTTTTCTTTGAGGTTGCCCTGTAATTTATAATTTTCTTCTCAAGTTTAGAACAGTCCGTTCTATCTTGTAGTTGTCTTGACTTCCCTACCATTTAGAAGTTCTGTAACTACACAGTTTTTTCCCTCTTTTTGGTTTGTAGTTGTCCTCATTTGTCAATTGGTGTCTCTGGTTCCCTGTTTACAATCTTGCAGGCTTATTTACTTTGGATATGTCCATAGGTGGGTTGGTTTCTGGGTTACGTCTTCATGTGTGTTAATGGTCAGTTGTTGTTTGCTGTTGTTGGTTGTCTGTCCAAAGGACTGCCTTTAACATTTCTTGTAAGGTTGGTGTGGTTTTAACAAATTCCCTTCATTTCTGCTTGTATGGAAATGTCCTAATTTCACCATCATATTTGAGGGACAATTTTGCTGGGTATATAACTCTTGGTTAGAAATTCTTCTCTTTCAGGGTTTTATATATACCATCCCATTGTCTTCTCGCCTGCACAGTTTCTGCTGGGAAATCCGAGCTTAGTCTTATTGGTTGCCCCTTGTATGTAACTTGTTTTTCCTGTGCTGCTTTCAGGATTCTTTCTTTATCTTTGGTTTTGATGAATTTGATTATGATATGTCTTGGTGATTTTCTTTTGGGGTCTATCCTGTTTGGGGTTTGTTGGGATTCTTGAATGGATATATTCTTATCTTTCATCCTACCAGGAAAATTCTCTTCCAACAAATCTTCAACGGTTTTTTCATTTTGTCTCTTCCTATTGTGGAATTCTGGTTCCACGTAGGTTATTCCTTTTGATGGTATCCCACATGAACCTTAGGCTTTCTTCATTTTGTTTTGATCTTTTTTCTGATAGATCCCTTTCCAAAGAAGTATTGAGATATTTGCCTTCAATCTCACTAATTTTGTCTTCCATTGCTTCAGTTCTGCTCCTTTGCCTCTTCAATGTGTTATCTATTTCTGAAAATTTGGTGTTAATCTTCTGGATTTCTGGTGGTAGATTTTGTATCATTTCTAATTTTTCATTTATTTTGTCATTTTGTTCATGTATTACCTTTAAAAATTGTTCTTGGGTTTTCTCAATTTTGTCAGTGTTTTCTTTGTTCTGTCATTCGTTGAATGTAGGTAAATATAATTATTTTGTACTCCTTGTCAGGGAGTTCCAATGCTGTGTCTTCCTCAAAGATGTGTTTTGGCTCTGTATCCTGGTCCCTTGTTTCTCCTGCTTTATCTTGCTTCTTTGTGTGGACTGTGATGCTCTGTTGCCTCTGAGGCATTGTGATGTTTTTGTGTTTATATTTAATTGGTGATTGTATGTTGTAGTAACTTGCTCACTTTTTTTGTTTTGTTTGTATGTTATCTACGTAAGCAGGGTACTATGCTGTGCTCCTCTAGTTGGCAGCACTTATACATTCACCACCTGTCTTCTTTCCTGTTGGCCGCCTCCAATATGTCCCTGCTGTCCTTGGCAAACAGAGCCTCTTCTTAGATCCCTGGAATCCAAATGAGAATGCTGTCACTTTAAAATCCAAAACGGCTGCTTCTTGTAAACATTCAAAATGGCTGCACCTAGTAGCGACTGGGATCTTAAAAGCTTGTAAGCAGCCATCTAGATGCAACGATGGGTCTCTCCTTGTCCAGAGCAAAGAAGAATGAAGAAAACCAAAGATTCATGGAAACAATTAGTCCTAGCAAC